TATCCCAAATGGTGACAGTAGTACGTTAGAATCTGTGGCAGTGAATGTGAGAGATCAGTATTGCATAGTTACTTTGTACGGTTCTTTTTCGATGCACGCTGGGCTTACCGGCTGTCGATAAACATAATCGGGACAGTTTATTTCTAGTCTCTAGTTTGAGTGAGCGTAAATCAGATTGATATCTTGGCAGTTTGATTCAATATATATGGGCGATTAAGAGGATACGAATTGATTTCCGGCTAGATATAGCTCATATGAAAAGCCCAAATCCACACATGCCTTAATTGCCATCAAATATTTTGATACTGGTTTGCAGTATATGATCGTGCGTTTGTGGGTCTGTTTTATTCGCTCGCGATTTATAGGCTCTGGCGATGCTTGACCGTGTTCATAGTATGTCATTAGTGAAGCTAACAATTAATCTGCCGTCGCCCCAGTCAGTTCCGGATTATTTATTACGAGACCTCACTACTGTGTCTTCTATCGCGTTCACCTTGTATCCAAGTGTGGAAATATTAAACCCATTATGAAAATGCTACACCAGATCAAATAGACTATGGGTAGTAAGACTAGCTAGGGATGACATAGGTAGATGGGGACTAGTCATTTATCCCACGTCTTCTGTACTTACTGTGTCTTCTATCGCGTTCACCTTGTAACCCGCCCCACTAAAACAAACAGGAAGATGTCGAGGCATTCATGGTGAAGAAGGAGGTGGACCCGGAGTTGCAAAGACTGGACGAACTCCGCCGCAAGTACAAATTCATGGAGACCAATATGCAGAACCAACGGACACACTACGAGTCCAAGATTCCGGATTTAAAAGCGGACGTCGAAATGGTCAAGGAATTGCAGAAAATGAAGGTATATGATCGGGGGCGTGTAGCGTAGCGGAGATTGTATTCGAATGTTGGCGTGTACGCGTAATTGTTAGTGAGTTGTTGGTCATATTTAGTAGGTAAATCTATATCGCAGTAGATATGTTTGAACAACAATGGGAGTGTATTTGATCTGTGGCATGTAGCGTAGTGGGGATTGTATTCGAGTGTTGCACGCTTGGTTGTTAGTGTATTGTTGATACGCGGGTATGCACATATTGTAGTAGGTAAGTCCGTATCGTAACAACAGTACTTAGTGTACTGTTGATACTTTTTGTAGTAGGTTTGTCCATATTGTAGTAGGTATGTTTGAACAACAGTACTTAGTGTAATGTTGATACTTAATGTAGTAGGTAATTCCTTGTCGTAACAACAGTACTTAGTGTAATGTTGATACTTAATGTAGTAGGTAATTCCTTATCGTAACAACAGTACTTAGTGTAATGTTGATACTTATTGTAAAAGATAAGTCGATATCGTGGTAGGTATGTTTGAATAACAATGGGTATGCTAGGTGGTCACTCGGGTATCCATATGTGTTTACAAGTTTTACCCATGATGAAACCAGTACCACATGTGATCTGTGTGTGTAGCTACGAATGGCATTCTTGGATGAAAGCATACAAACATGCAGCATTATACGTTATATAATCAAGCATTTTAAACCACACTAATTGGCTCCAGGCTTGTCTACTCTACGGCCGACGCGCACTGGGTGCGAAATTTCAGATCACTGTACATTCCTCTACTGTACCTCTTCACATCGTATGTTTTTTTAACAAAATGGGATAAGTATGGGGGATCCCACATCTATGCGTGTGACTCAGCAGTAAACACCTCTTGAACACAACAGCACACCCACGTACGCGTGCTAGTACGAGACTAGAACCAATAAGCCCGTCGGTTCAGATGCTCTCTTATACTCAAAAATGCCAAGGATATGCTCAGCGCTCGCTAAATATGGGAGCATATCCACCCCAGGGTTTGTTATAACGCGTCCCTTTTTTATATTTAAATGTTTTGGAAATCGTGTCTGTGAACAGGAGGGCAGTGAGTTGACTACGCAGTTCGCGCTTGCGGACAGTGTTTACGCGAAAGCCACTGTGCCGAAGACAGACCGCATCGGACTTTGGTTGGGGGTAGGTGTATTTTCAAATGTGAAGGTGTTTGCTTGCCCGTTTGTTTGCGTGTCTGTTTATAAATGTATTTTGTTTGTAGTGTTCATGTGTGAATCTTCATCAGTTTATATTTGTACGTTTTAGTTTGATACATTTATAAAAACCTACACGTATCCAAACAATGGTAACATATATATATATGTATGTAACTATATATACTATATATATATGCTTATATACACACTCGCTCTCTCTTCTACATACTCATTCACAATAATATATATATACATGTGTGTGTGTGCGTGTGTGTGTGTGTGTGTGTGTGTGTGTATATACATGTCTATATTTATATATATCTATATATGTCTGTGTCTGTGTCTGTGTCTGTGTGTCTGTGTGTGTATAAATTATATTATTTAT